TCGACCAACGGCGGGTAGAGGGAGGGAGCGGGCGAGCGCCCCAGGAGAGGGAGAGAGGGAGGAAAGGAGTGAGAGAGAGTAAGCGATGGAGGGGGGCCGGACCGGGCTTCAGAGGAGGAGGAGGAGGAGGAGGCAGTGGCGGCGGCGGCGCCCTCCCCAGTCCCAGTCAGCGGCGAGCCGCCATCCGACCCCCCTGCGCGAGCACTCCGCGCGCCGAGCCGAGCCGAGCGGTGCCGAGGAGCGAGCCGAGAGTCGAGCCGGGGCGTGTGCGCGCGGGGCGGGGCGGAGCCGAGCCGAACGGCATCAGCTGTGCGCGCCCGTCGCGCGTGTTTGCTCGTGAGCGCGTTGCGTGTCGTGGCCGGCGCCCCCGTGAGGGTGTCATGTCATTCTGGTGCCGTCGAACACTGTGCTGTCGCCCACATGTCCTGGCCGCCACGATTGTCTGAGGTAAGTGCGCGGCGCCGTGCTATCCGAAAAATAACCTGATCAGTAAATGAATTGGAATAGTTGTATTGTTGTTACTTGTCCTCGCTGATAAACATCAGTGGTGGAGCTGGATGAGGTTGGCACAGCGGCGACGGTGGCCACGGAGGGCCCCCAGCCTGGTGACGGAGCCTGCGGGTACTGGGAGAAGGGAGGGGTTGAGAGGGGGTGGGGGGAGGGTTTGAGGCTGCCACGATGGCTTTGATTCGCCGGGACCGGACGTCCGCCTGGCCACTCATCGCCGGTAAGGCCGAGGGAAGGCCCCCGAAATAGCGCAGCTGAGGTTGGCGGAGCCGGGCGGGGCCCGGTAAGGCCGGGGATGGTGTGGCCGGGCGTGGCAGGGCGTAAAAGGCAGTGCAAAAACACAATTAGCTGCGTAGCCTCTTTTTTCATTACTTTTTTTATTTTTACAAAGTTTTCCCTTTTTTCATTTTTCCTAGTTTCATTTGGGTTAAAGCGGACGGGGGGCGGCTCGCGTTCGCCCACCACGCCTAATGAGGTAACGGACGCCGCAAATTACACGGCGAGACGACACTGCTCAAAAAGAAGAGAATAATAATGAACGGGGTTGGAAGAGGGGAAAAAGAAAGAAAGAGCGAGGACCGTCAGTGCAGCGGGACACGGTGAGCCCCGCCCATCCTGGCCGTCCCCTCATTTCCCCTGAGGTCCCGCGGCGCCGCCCGGGGTCCTGATCCTGGTCCAGGACCCCTTTCTCTCCCCGGGGCCGGAGCGACCCGCCCACTCAATGGCCTCTCGACGCACACCGAAAAATATGTTGTTACTTTTGTTCAAATCTTGATTTACAAGAATTTTTTACATTCGAACGCGACCGTCAATAATCGATTGCGTCGGTTGCAATCAATGTATGTAAGATTTGGTCGTCGAAGAAAATGAAGTCAATAATTTTTAAACCATAAACAAGGTTCGTAATTTTTTTAAATATAATTATGAGTTTGTAACTTTCTAAAAATGTTGCAAGGAAACTTTTCTTTCCCGTAAAGTTGAAAGTGTTTCTCAAAGTGCACAGCACAGCAGCCTGCCTGTTCCACTTCTTGATGCACTCGGAGGGAGGAAGAGCGCACGCGTCAGGTCAGGTCAGGCCGCCACAAGGCGCACTGCAAGCTCAGCCACGGCATGGTCAGCGCCCCAGAACTTATTGGTCGGGGTGGTGAGGGAATGACTCAGGGGATGCATAAAACAAGTCCAGTAGGCCACCGCAGCGCCCACAGGCCGCAGGCCGGCGCCTGCTCAAAGGGCGCCGTGCAGACAGGCAAACCCCGGACGGGACGCAGCCGAGCGCAGTGGGTTGCCTATGCAGCGCTCCGCAGGCGGCTCGCCCCCGCCCAGATCCCGACCATCGCCGAGATAAGGATGAGGGCAACCATGGTTTTCCTTACCCTGATGGAACTTTTGGACGTGGAATGCACGTAGCTGTACACCGTAGGACAAGTAATGGACGCACTTGTGAGGAAGAAAGATGAGACTCAACAACTTATGGCTTTTTCAGAAAATTTAATCATGATCAATCTGAAAAAGTTACAATCTTACAGTCCATTACCGTCCATATTACCATCTATTCCATAAAGAATGAATAGCTAACTCATAACTTTCGCGAGAAAAACACAGAAGAGTACTCAGACTCAGAGTGATGGCAGCACCGAGTTTGCTTCAAATTTTGAAGAGATATTCACAGTTGTAGACTACTCGTAGGGTTTTGACCTCCTTCTAAAGCGACAATTTAAATTAGTCGGGGAAATGTGCTGTGCAAGGAAGGACATCGACAATTTTTTAAAGTGTGATTTAAACCTTTTGGACAAATATGTTTGTTGGACAGCTCGCAACTGTTTGTTGTCCCAAATAATATTTTGTTTTGTGTAGTCCTGGCCTGGCCTGCTGTGGTGCTCTTCTCGTGATGAGTCCCTCTCCCTCTCTAGCGCATGCTTTACGAGCAGATGTTCGTGACAATGCATGATTGAGTAACGATGTTCCCCCTCCTCTGCTCCCTACTCTCTGTACAGGCGAGCGCCCCCTCCCTCTCACTACCGGCAACAGTGGTGCTGGGTAACACCTACACCCTGCCTTGCCAGATCCACGGTAGTAGTTCCTCTGGACATTCATTGCCATACTATTGCAAAAGAGTGATAACGCGTATGTAACATCTAAGGGTATCACCTTAAGAGAAATAACAGATAACAGATAACAAATAACAGAAAAGATCTATCTTACACAGGTTTCTCTTGCCCAGTGTTGTTTCAAAAATGTTTCAATGAACATATTTTGCAATAAATGATCTTTAGTGGAATAAACCATGATCAAACAGCATAAATTACCTTCCTGAAATGGATCTGTTATCTGTTATTTGTTATCTGTTATCTGTTATTTCTCTTAAGGTGATACAACCTAAGAATGAGAAATATGTTACCCTCCCATGTTACAGTGGCACACAAGTGATGGACTGAAGGGTAGTGCAGATGAGCCCGGGTCCTCTGGGATTTACTTGCCATTCCAGCCAATACTCCGGCCAAGTTATTAGCGTGAACGACGGGATGTGAGGTCATCTGGGAGACAAAAACCGGACGGCCAGGGCAGGGGAGCGCACCAGGATGCCCTTCAGGTTGAAGCTCGACGCGGGCGCGGGCGCGACATACTCGCGTATGAGGAAGTTGCCCGAAAAGAGGAACAAAAAGAAGGTAGCGCCGGGTAGCGCTGAGGAGGTGGCGTGGTGTAGCGCCGTCCTTAAACACAGCAGAACGCGGGCGACCATGAGTGTGTCCGAATTCTCAATCGTATCGCTACGGGAGGGAATGACCAAGTGGAGAAGGTGGTCAGCAGGGAGGGCAACCTGCAGCCATCCCTTGCGAAAGGACGTCGCGGTTCGCGCTCGTCCGCGGGGGTATAGTCGCGAACCGCGACCGACCTACATCGACGACGTAAGTTTGTCGCGGTTCGCGACTACCCCCGCGGACGAGCGCGAACCGCGACGTCCTTTCGCGAGGGATGGCTGCAGGTTGCCCTCCCTGCTGACTACCCTCTCCCCTTCGTCACGTCATTCCTACCGATTCGCAGCGATACGATTGAGAATTCGGCCACACTCCTTGCTGTGTTTTGACGCAAGTGGATGTGTGATCATAAATCAAGTTTTGTTGAATTTCTAAAGAAACATTGGGTTTATACTAGACCGGCGTAACAATCTTGTGTCAAATAGTGCTTCTGTAAAGTTTGGCTTCAGAAAAGTAAGTTTATACAATCTTCTAAACCGCCCCGGTGTCGTTGTTTGGGTTAGTGTTCGGACATATTGCATTGGTACAATTTTAACTCAATGGTAATGACTCAACTGTCGTAAAAAGCTTTGGTATAGGTGGTAACAAGGTGCTGGATGCATAGGCCCCTTCTAAACTGTTTGAAATCTAACGACACGCATTCTAACCTCTGATAGACTGTCGCTCATCTTCTGCTTTGTTTATGGGACGGCGCTACGCCACGCCTCCTCCTCAGTGCGACCTTCTCCTTGTTCCTTTTATCGGGCAACTTCCTCATCGTAATGCAAACCTCCTCAAACTTAAAAATTACTACAGGACAGTGGTGGTGAGAGACATCTCAGCTCAACTTAAAACTTTGGTTAGGTGGGCCTACGATACGATTTGGAGCCTTCTTGATGTGCTGTCTCTGAAAGAATTTTGCCGTCAAATAGAAATGTGAAAATGTAGGCGAGCAGTATAGCAAGCATTTGGTAGCGCACGGTGTACTTGACAGGCGTTTATATTGTTGAGGAATTCGTCAGCTTAAGAACACGAATCGTTCTCTTATCTTATTATAAATGAGCACCTTACCCCATTCGGTGGTGAGGTGGCAGCGCGTAGTGGGAACCATAACATGCAAATTTTCTCGTGCGTTTCGGTTAAAATGAGTAGTCCTATCGTCTTCGGTGTGAAAAATTAACTCCCTACCACACAAGTTTTATCAAAAATAACACCAAAATAAGGGCGTTTGAAATATTTTAGCGACTAGAGGCTTCTGCTTTGTTATGGTTCCGCCGAATGGGGTAAGGTGCTCATTATATTATAAAGCATGTAAAGCGCGCGTGGAAACATTATTGTAAAAAATTTCGGTTGAAAACTTAGCAGCCACTCTGCAAATATGGTCTCAAGAACTAAGTGCTCCCTTGCCGCTCACAATCTACACGGGTCTCCGAGTCGCAAAGCGTAACAGGGAGTTGCCGGGAGGTTAGGGGGGGGGGGGGGTATAGCTCTCGCTCTACGCGATATGAAGACGCCAGTGTGCAATCCACGACGAAAACTCGCGGTACAACTCCCGTTATCGGACCAATTTCCTGCTCGTCT